ACGCCCCCCCCACCACCGGCCCCAGCAGCAACCCCAGGTCTCCACAGTGCCTCAGCCACAGGCGCAGGGCCAGCCCCCAGGGCTGGGCATGCAGGCTCTTCCCCCTCAGCAGCCCATTGTGAGTGTTCCCTTGGAGGCAGAGGGACATGATAGTCCAGCACAAATCCAACAGTGCTCCACCTGCATCCCCCACTTTCTCCCTCCCCTGCGCTTCCCAGGGCTTGTGCAAATGCTGAGGCTGCCAGCCAGGTGGTGTGGCTATAACTACATTTCTCTCTTTGCAGTTCCAGCGCCAGGGCCTTCAGCAGACACAGCAGCAGCAGCAAACAGCTGCTCTGGTTCGACAGCTTCAGCAGCAGCTTTCCAGTAAGCCTCAGTGTTCTTCCTTCTGTCCCTACTCTCCTCCCCACCATTTTCTCTTGCAGGTGCTCTGGTGTAGAGAAGCAAGGCCAAGCCAGACTGTCTGTCTGAGGCCGTAAATGATGCTGGCAGGGAGGTGGCATCAGGCCTTAAAGCTCCTGGCCCAAGGGGGCACAGCAGCAGGGCAGGCAGTGCTTGCCAGCTTGTGAGCAACCTTGCAGCCTGCCTTCCTTCCGCTGCCTGCAGAGGGATGAGAGAGCTGAGCCTTTGTAGGGGCTGCCATGCAGCTTTCCTGAAAGGATCCAGCCTGCAGCTTTAAAGCCTTCAGAGGTACTTCCCCTGCTGCAGATGACCTCTGAGGGGCACAGGGAGGATGTAGTCCTGGGGCACTCACTTGGTTGATGACCCAGAGATACTCTATTCGAGTTGTAATCAGGACAAGACTTCTTGGAGGCAGGGAGGGTACTCTGGGAAATGCCCAGAAATGGACTGCACAGGTTTTTTGCAGTGCATTAAGTGTGAGGCTGTGCTAGATGTAATAACATGTGGAGTGGTGACTTGGAAATTGTCCTTATACTTGTTCCCTGATAGAAAATTCTTAGTCCTTGTGATCAAAAAAATCTCCTCAAACCAGAAGTTTTAACATGCTAAGTTTCCCACTAGCCTGAGTCACAAACCACAAGTCTGTGCAAGGATCCCAGCCAGGACGTTCAAGTCCTTCCATGTAGGAAGACTTCATATAAGAATCTGAATATAGCAGAATAGCCATATTTTTGTATCTTGTCTGTACAGCAAATGGAGCTGTCTTTTATATGGAACAGATGCGTGGGTCCAATGCAACCATGTGTCAGCCTGTAGCTTCCATGCTCCCTCATTGGGTTTGCAACAGTTCCACCAGGAACCATCTGGAGTTCTTCTTTGTAGTGTCTGGGACTGAGTGGAAAGCAGGACATAAACCAAGCCTGTAGGAGGGGGACAAGAATACTTTGGGCCCAAGACAGGCTGTGTTAGGAGGCTCCACGGAATCCCTGAATGTGCTATGATCCAGCAGAGTTGAGAAGGAGAGCAGGCTAGCCAGGTTACACTGGTCTCCTTTTACTTAGTCTGACTTAAGCTCAAACATGCTGATGGGTTTTTAGGAAAAAACTACTGAATTTTATTAATCAGACAGTACCCAAGTATACTGTGAGCACTGTACATCACAAAACATCAGTCCCAGCAGTTTGGAAGTTGATGACGTTCTTGAATACAACTTTACCATGTTTCCTGCCCTTTTTGTGCCACCTGGAAGTTATTTGGGCATGTCCTTCATTTGTGGTGAGATACTGACAGGGAGCCAGGATCGTTGTTTCTGAAACCTTCACTAACTGGTTTCTGGGCATGCCTCAGGACGAGTGCTTGACACTAGCTGTCTGAGCGGCTTGTATGGGTGCAGGTGTTGTGGAATCTTATAGGGCCGGTTTTCTTTCAAAATCAGGAATAATTCATCCATAAACTCATCCTCCCAGCTAGCTGCCACCTTTCAGGGCTTTGTTATGGTGCACCAATTCCACCATGAGGAATGGAGAGATCTCCTCTGGAGGAGCTTCAGCATTGAGACTGGCACATACCTATCTCTTCCTCAAAGAATGTGGGGTACTGAGTGTGCTTCTGCCTAAAGGCTCATTCAAATGAGCAGAGCAGGGAGTGCCAGGAAGGCTGTGTTTTCCTTCTCACAGCCTGTGACACACTCATACTGCGCTGGGCATGTGGGGAGAGGGATCTCCTTTTCTGAACCAGATCTTGTGACTGTCTAACTCTGTCTTGACCTCAACAGATACACAGACACAGCAGAACAACAACCCGTTTGGACGCTACTGATCTGTGAACTTCAGCCTGATCCAGAAGGGAGACATCGCTGTCTACTGGGTACAGCCTCTTCAGCCTGACTGACCCACAAGCTGGGGCTGCCTCCAACCTCTGTCCTTGGGTGTGCCCCTAGTGCTGCTGCCGTCTATCTCACAAGGAGATGCCGGGAGGATGGTTTTATTGTACAGAGAAAGTGTTTTTACTATCCAATTTCTACAAACGTTTATGGAGATCCCTTGTGGCTGATAGTTTCCCTTGCAACTTTGGTTTCAGTTTTTACTCAGTTTTTAGTATTTTTGTTAAAATAATGATTAAGACATTGTAAAATTTTCTACTTTATTTATACCAGATGAACCCTGTACTGCAGACATTATCAGATCAATACAGAGAGCTTACTTTGCAAAAGCAGTGTGTATTCAGCCTGCCTTTCCTCCTCAGCGCTCCTCGCAGTACAGCCCAGCAGCACCTCTAAACATGGTCTTTATCTCTTTCTCAGTAGAATTAGTATCTGCCTTTTCAGCTTTTGTGAACGGCTAAACAATTTGGTTTGGGAAAGAAAGCCCCCCTTCCCTGTTTGTTTCCTAAGCTGATGTTCACATGCTTGCAAGGCTTTGTGCAAGCTTTGTAGGATTTGTATGTTGATTAAGAGCTTTACTAGTAGTCTGAGACATGTTCCACCAGGACAGAGGTATAAAGCAAAGAGGGAGTTGTATTACAGGGTAATTCCGAGCATAACATGCTCAGCTTCCCAGCCACAGCAGTTGCTCAAGCTGGTAGCTCTGCAGTCTAGGAGGAGCTGCAGCCCAAGTGCACTCACAACACTACTTCTCATTGCAGCGCCGTTTTGCTGATAAGCACCAAGGCTCCTCTTGCTCACTCCTTCCTGACAGCCACAGTGCTTTCTCGGGCTTGCAACAGGCATTCTCAACTTTTGACCTGGCTAATGCAGCCTGCTGGTATGGAGTCTCATCTCTGTCTGTA